GTTATTCACTAAACCGCACCAAAACCGCCCGCACCAAGCCAAACCGCACCACACCGCATAATGCGGTTTAGAACCTTAACGGTGCGGTTTGCGGTTTCCAAAAATCTCAAACCGCACATGCGGTGCGGTTTGCGGTTTTGACTCTAAACCGCACCAAACCGCACCGCGCACACCCCTACTCAAAACTAGTATAACATAAAGAACCTTTAATGATTAATTATATAATTCTTTAGTTTATACATCAGAGTTATATATAAGTAATATCCCGTTTCTTCCCGTTACCACGAAAACGCCCGGTATTTTAACGCCTAATAACGGCTAAAGACGATGGTGTTTTTGCATATACCGACGTTATTTGATGTACACGTCGGAATAACTTAAAAGTAGATAATATAAATTTGATTTGGTTTAGTGAATGAAAAGCAAAGAAACTGGATACTTGTTGAAAAACCGATACCCAGATTATCAGGCCGGGTCGAGAGTCGGATATGGGTCATTGCCTATCCGGCCAAAATCCATTTACCGAATGATGAAGGAGACGACGAATCTCTTTCACACCAACATTTTTATCAGATTCCCGCCATTACAAAATATACAAATTCAAGTCGAATTGTTCATTCATTCTGAAAATCTGGCTTCAATTTGATGCAATCGAATTCTAGCTTTTGAAAGTTTGGATTATCGTTATTCAGACAAGAACAAGCAGTGAAGAAAGAGGAAAAATGGCGGATGATGTAACGAGATGGTCGGTGACCTACACGAAGCACATAAAGCAGAAGCGTAAAGTTTATCAAGACGGATTCTTAGATGTTCAATCATCTAGTCATAAGGTTGCTTTCGCATCATACTCTTCTTAATTTGTTTATTGCGTCGGTTAATTGCGTGCGAGGACACACAATGTTAATCATTGTGATGATCGTTCATTCGTTCTACTGTCTGTTTGATTCGAACTTTGTTTTTAAGTTTTGTCTACATTTTATCATCTCATCTGGAAAAATCGACCTGAATTTGACTTCCTAATAGTGATTTTGGCTTTTATAGTCAAATAAGTTATCCTTAACAGCTGAATTGATGACGTGCTATATGTTAAATGTTATGAAACAAGTCAACAGCTACACCTACTGTTCTTTAGAATTTAACGTGAACATATGATGGTTTTTGATACTTCGAGTGCTTCGTTAGACCACAAAAAATCCATATATGTTGCCAGTTTACAGATAGCAGTGGTGTAGATGCAGAATTAGTAAATCTATCTATGCTTTCACATGATACATAATTTATGTATATTGATTTCGAGAGATTCTATATAAAAACTATTCAGAAATTCATTTCCAGATGATAAAAAAGGATGGTTCGTTCATAACACTACAACAGCATAGCCCACTTCTAGTGCTAGTGTCACTGCAAGAATCTGCAAGTTTCTTATAACACCATAAGATAATTATATTTTGGACTTCTGGTTCCTATGAGATTAAATACCTTTTCATATGGAACACTTAAAAGAAAAAGAGTACAGTGATTGCTATGGGTGATATTAACAACTGATCAATTACCTCATATCTAAAGAGCATTGCCACTTTTTCATTTTTATCAATCTTCTAACAGGTTAAGCTATATGACGACTGTGATAAACTTTTGGATAGCAAAATTGTGAAGCTTGATGATGCTGTTAAATCGGGTGAAACAATAACACTTGGTGCTTATCTTGTTGACATTGGTGACCCTCATGGAGATAGTAAACCCATTCCAAACTTGATTCTTCAAAGAGACAAATCTACTACTGATAAGGCTCACATGTCCAACAGTAGTATGTTAAATAATAACTCCACTTGTTTTTATGATGTTTAGTTGGTATATAACTAAATATCACACATTTTCATGCTTCTATTTTCTCATTTAGAAATCAGCAACATTAGCTCACGAATTGGTAAAACATCATCAATCAATCTGAGTCCATCACAGAAAATTATCAGAGGTTAGTTATATTACATTCATAATCATGTAATGTAACAATGTTAAGTGCCATTGCACTCATGTTAACCTTCATGATATCAGAGTTCAAGAAACGTGAAGTCAAGAAGTATTGTTCTCCACCCAGTTGTCCAGACACATCTAAAGATGATTCAACAGGTTTGTTTTCTAAATGAACAATTTCTCTTACAAACTACATAGGAATCTGTGATGTTGGTCTTTATATTGGGTATCAATACTTAAGTGGAAAAATTTCGTTTCATATTATTAATCATGTTTATACATCACTTGATAAGAAAAAAACAATGAAGCAACCCCTTAGACTTTTTGTGAAATAGTTGCATATTGCTTTCACATTGCTGATTCCATTTTCTTTTTCCAATTAGAATGGCAGGTCTTATACACTACTCAATTAACACAAAAAGCCAAGAAATTTCACGATGGAATCTTAAAAGTTTTAATTTCAGGGTTATGGGGGAGGCAGGTTAAATTTCAACACGTTTTTGCAAACCCATCAAACTTAATAGTTAATACACATTTTCATGGCATTCTTTTTTCTTTTTCTCAGGTGATTCTGTATGATGAAACAAGGACACAATTAGACAGCAGATTCCTTAAAAAGGAGGAAACTATTACAGCTGGCGAATCAATGAAATTTGATGGTCATATAGTTGACATTATAGAACTCAGAGACCATAAACCTCTCAATGATACAAATGTTGATGGAAGAAATTGCTATAAACAGAATACAATGCCTTCCAAGAATCACAATGAGCATCTTGCTGGTTTGTTCATCTATTCATTTTGTTGCATTTTTGGTGATTGTTATCTATCTTATGTCATTATTATGTAAATTCAGAGTTCAATAAACATGAAACAAGCATGTCATACACAAAGACAGATTTAAAAGGTCAGTTCTATACATTATTTGACTTCTGCAAGGCACATTTTTGTTTACTTAAAGCATCCACAATGGTTAACCTATTCAAAGGGTTATTTCAAATAGTGATATAAGCTATAAACAATAGTTGTTCTGTTATGTCTATTGGATCTTTATGATTTATCATTGTCTTTTTCAATTAGAGTGGAATGTGATGTACACTACACAAGTAACCCAAAAGGCCAAGAAGTTCCATGATGGTGTCTTAAAACTTGCAAGTTGTGGATCACAAGGGAGAGAGGTCAAATTTGTCATTTTTATTATACAAACATGTTTCTATCTATTTTGTTTACCAATGGGAGGATATCTTAATCTATACATCATCACAGGAGGCTACTTTATTAGCAGAAGATGGAACAGTTTTGTCCCATAGATACCTTAAACTATCTGAAGACATCAACAGTGGAAGTTTATTCAACATGTCACATTACTTGGTGGAAATTGGTGAACAAAGGAAATGTTCTGAAGGTAGGTTTTTATATTTCTTTAGTGTTATGTTATAATTCTTTGAAAGTACATGAAACTATGGATAATGATTTGTTATTCTGTTATTGGCTTAAATGTGTAGGGGAAAGTTCAAGGAAAGCTTCTACATTGGAAAATGAAACCCCAAAGATTAGGAGCTTTGATTTAGAGAATATCAAATTATCTAAGAGAATCCCAACTAGCAGACCTCTATCTGATGGTAAGACTTAATAGTCTGTTTGGTATGATGGAATAAAATCAACAAAGTAATGGAATGGAATGGATCATTACATTCCATTATCATGTTTGGTTGCCTTGAAGGAATGGAATAAGTCATTCAAACATCTTGTTTGTTATGTACATTTAGAAAACTAAATGAATTTAAATTGATTGATAAAGAAAAAAAAATGTTATTTTATAAAAATAAACTTTAATCAAATAAAGATGCATTGCTAAGTTAATGACATATAAAAGTATTTCATGTTCGTTTCAAATGTAGACTATATATATATATATATATATATATATATATATTTCACGTAGTAAAAAAAGTTTATTGTCGTTTTAAAAAAATTGTTTACAAAAATAAAAAAATAAATTAAATTAAATACCATGGAATCTTGAAGTAGACTTAAAATAATAATAAAAAAAAAACAATGTAATTGAACTTAATTTTAAAGATATTGGTGTTATCAAAGATTTTGTAAATAAAATAATCTATAACCATGATATATCATTCCATTCCATCATGGAATGCAAATAAGCCGGGGGAATCACATTGCATGATAAATGCTCCATTCCATTCCTATGTGGCAAACAAATATGATTTTCACTTTCCATCATAATGCTCCATTCCATTCCACATATCTGATTACTGCATACCAATCATTATCTTGATGCATGATACCAATTATGTTGTGTAATATGAATTAAGATTCCATTTATTTCAGGGGATTGTTTTTTTGGTCAAATTGTAACTTGTTTTTACTTTTGGTTTATCACGTGGTTATGAAGTCATCCTTTCTAAATTTATATGTTATATTTGTAGAAAAACCTCCAAAAAGAGCTTTGCAATTGGAAGATACTGACTCAAAAGCTAGAATTTTTGAGCCAGATAAAGCTGTATCAACAACTATCATAAACAACAAGCCTTTACGTGATGGTATGTAATTGATCCCTAATTCCCTATATCAAATTGTATTTGAATTTGCACTAAAATTTGGTGGTTTTCTTCATTACTCTCTTTTATTTTCTAAGCAGCACGTTCAATTTTGTCCATTCTAAAAAGACCTACTACTCAAGAAAGTGGTGATACAGAGAAGCAAAAAGACTCATATACTAGTACATCTGACGTGGCAATTTGCAATGAGGAAAATTGCAAACCAGTTGATGATACTGATATCTCACTAGAGACTAAATCACCAGATTCTTCTAAAGATTACAATGATCCGAATGATTTCAAGAATACAAACTCAAGAAATGCAGACTTCCCAAGTTTTGATCTTGGATTTGACTAGACCCGTTTTTGATTTTTCTCACAAAACAAGGAAAAGAAATAAATTGTTTTATTTTTTATTAACGATTAGCAAAACATCAATAGAAACAAATTAAGTTGTAATCTTTTCAGGATCTTTTTACGCCTTATTCTTTGACTTGTACATGTTTAGCAACACTTTGAAAAGATTTCTCGATTTCTTAGAGTAGGCTTCCATATCTTTTGTTCTTTCTCTTTGTGGATACGATGAACAAGATCTTCTCGATATGTTTGGACTCATGGATCGATGAGCACAAGATGCAGACTCTGATCGCTTAATCCGGAATGGATTTGGTGAAATTGATCTTGATCGTTTTTCTGGTTTTTCAGGCGAATTTAATTAGTAAATAAAGAAATTATTTTAAAAAAAGAGTGAATTACACGAATGGTCCCTATGGTTTGGGATAATTTGCACGTTTGGTCCTTAACTTATTTTTTTAACTTGGTACAGTCTTTTTAGGTAAACAAAAACAAACTGTAGGGACCTTCCGAGTTAAAAAAATAAGTTAGGGACCAAACGTGCAAATTAACCCAAACCATAGGTACCATTCGTGTAATTCACTCTAAAAAAAATATTGTCAAACTGGAAAGTGGGAAGAACTCTGTTTCTGCTAACCTATTCTTTTGTTCAATGCAGCCTTTCTAAATGAAAAGTCAACCGAACCTGGTGGGAATTGTCCAGAATGCCCCTTTCTGCTGTGACAAAGGTAACTTCTTATAACGACAATGCCTACATATAATTTACTTATTATATATATATGTATATATGTTACCTTACACCAAATGACTCAGCCTTTCCTTCAAAAACACAACCCTCTGTAGCAATAATTAAAAAAAATCTCAATAAGATTCATGAGAAATTTAAAAAAAAAAAAAAAAAAAATCCACCTGGGAGAGTGTACTTCTTAGGACACTTGGGTGTCTGTGTAGTCTCTAAGTATTGATATAATCCAACTTTGTTAGCATATGCTTGACATGTTTGTAACCTCTGTAAGCAATAATCTCCGAGAAAATATATAAAAAATACAAGTTTATAACTATAAAAAAATATATATTTTTATAAAAAGATCACCTGTTCAATGCATAAGACTCGAAGGTTTAGTCTGGAAGCTTCATTGACATTGTGATCTAGAAAGTTGTTGAGTTTATACATGACAGACCCCAAATGGTCTATGGTTTTAATGAGAGATTTGGAGATGTAGTTCTTTAAGCTTTCAAACAACCTTAAGCAAAATACAGAAACTAATCAAGTAGAAAAACAAAACAGAAGTAGATAAAAATATCACAAAATATGCCACTCACATTTGTTTCTGATCATTCTTGTAATACGAATCTTCAAAATGATCTGCAGCTGAATACAACTGTTCTTTCACATTTCTTAAGTCCTATAGAAATACAACCAATTTATATTAGTAGTATAACATGGTGAAAAAAAGTATTTGACATTTTAGAAAGTGAAAAGAGACCTTGAGACCATTGGCAAAGAGACCTTCATCATAGTTGGGAGGTGGAAGAAGATCAATTACAATTTTACCCTCCATTAGGACACCTGAAAGTTTTGATAGTGGCTAAAGTTTAAATAGAGACAGACCACTTGTTGTTGTAGGGGTGAGTAAGTGAGTGAGAGTGGGTCACATATATATATATATATATATATATATATATATATATATATATATAATATATATATATATATATATATATATATATATATATATACTTAGCCCACACACTTACACAAACAAATTTCATGATTAGTGTCATAATGGTGAGTTTGTTGGATTATTGCGTCTTGATGAAGGTAGTTTTTCAATGATGTTGATTTAAAAGAAGGTAAAACCATTTTAAGGAAGAAATGACAATAATGATGTAAAACGTGTACATCATGCATTGAAGGTTGTAGTTTGCTCTCAAGTTTGTCATTTAAGCTCTGGAAATAAAAGACGTAACGTATAGAAACCTGTTATTGAGTCCTTTTAAAAAATCACTCTCAACTAACAACATATTATTGTCAAACTTGTACATCAATGGCTTAATGCTTGTTTTAGTTCATTTACTTGACCTAACCCAAATGAAATTTAATCTTTATGGTCATATTTATAATATTAATTCTTTAGTCGACATTCTAAAACCTAGTATTACACTTGTGAGGTGGAGGGAATGCAAGAAAAGACATGTAGGGTCAACAATAATTGGGTGCGTGAAGAAGAGGGAATCGTTGTGGAAGATTTTTAGAATATAGGAAAGCGTAATTACCAATTTGCCACAACTGCTTCCATTTTAAAAGAATCCAAGTGTGAAAAATGGTCCACAATAAGCAATTATACAAAATTACAAACGCTAAATCTGTTTGCATTCTAGTTGGGATTTCTCTATCAAATTTGTTAGAATTATCGATGTGTTTAATCTTTGTGGACCTATATCTTTTTGACCCGTGTGGAATTCTATCATAAAAAGTTAAAAACTAATCATTTTTGGTTTTATGAATTTATTTTTTCATCATAAGCATTAAGATTGGAGACAAAAATCGACTTCTATGGACCTATGTCACCTCATCGATCCTACTGGCTTTATTTATTTAATGTAAAAATTTAATTACACACCCATATAAATGAAAAACAAAATTAATACTCCACTAATAATGAACACTCAACTTTTTAGTTTTTATCTCCACAGGTTGCACTCCTTTTTGTTTATCCTTTTGTATGACCTAATCAATATACAACACAATGTAATGGTTTAATAAATACATTTAGATCATTAGCTAAAGTCAGAAACACCTTGGAACGACAATTGAAGTACGAGACATCAAATAAACTAAAATTAGCCAACATGTTTGGTAAGTAGGTAGTTTTGAGTCATATTATGTCTCTAGACACATACCATATAGTAAATCTATGTATTTGAAATACTTTAATTGCTAATTTAGTTAACTCCTTTTTAATCATATTTAACATATAGATAATTTATTAAAAGAAAAAAAAATGGTGAATGTGGTGTTTCCCGTCAACCGGAAGGAATTGGAATGTCGAATTCCATCTGATAGCGTGGTTGGGTCCTTGTTATTTCATTTACTGTGGGTTGGTTTTTATTGCATATAAAATGACTTTTTTTATCATTTTTATTTGTTTTACATTATTTGTTTGTTTTTTGATTAAAAAATAAAAATTAAAAAAAACATTTCATGAATATTCATGTGGGTTTGTCCTTCATGAATACACATTCTCAAAAACATCTTCATGTGCCCATACATATTCATGAGCATCTTTATATAACACACACTCAAGAACACTAACCACCCTTTGTCACCACCGTTGACCACCAACACCGGCATTTGCCGCCTCCACTACCAAACTGCCACCACCACTAGATTTGGTAAGCGACAAACTAATACACACTTGGAAATCAACTTTAGTTCTAGAAACATATCTAAATTCGAACACTGTCAGTCACCAACATCATCATCTGCTCCCACTAAAAATGATTTTTTAAAACGACTTCAAAAATTCAAAACTAGGAAAACCTTCAAAACGATTTCCAATTTATGTCTAGATATGTGATGAGCTTCAAACGATTTTTTCCTTCAAACCCTTCTATAACACACACACACCCAATAAACCCAACGTGTAGCGTTTTCGATAGTTATAGTGATTCAGTCTGTTTTGGCAAACCACATGGACCAATTACCAATCGCATAGTTTTGTCTATATAAACCTATGAGCGATCAATATATACGAACATAACTATATGTTTACTTTTGGCATTGGAGTCCAATTAAAATGAGCGTATAATAATAAAATGCAATGTTTTATAATAATGTAGATGTTTTCGTTTATGTCAAACGATATGTTATACCTACTTATTCTTTAATACTAACTTGATACTATAGACATGTGTGATCTGAACATATTTCTATCATGTCCCATGCTATGACATTACTACCTAATTCTGATCAAAGTTTTACTTCTTAATTCCATGAGAAATTGTCGGAAAAGTCCCAATATTTTAGGAAAAGTTTCACTTTAGTCCTAAATTTTATTTTTTGAACAGAGTCCCAATATGTTAGAGATTTTGAAAGCTTAAAAAAAAACCCGAAAAATAAAAAAAATATGTTTGACGGTAGGAGCTTTTAACTTTTCTTTTAAACAAAAAACTCATATCCAAAAACTATTTCAAGTAACTTTTGTGAGCTTTTAGCTTTTGTTTTTTTTATCTAACTTTACACAGTTAAAAGCCAAAAGCTACAACTTCCAACTAATTTTGTTGAACACACGCCAAACCAATTAACATCACTATTTCTGATTTTTATTGCTTGCAACTTTCATTACAAATAACAATGTACTTTTATCCTTGATATAATGATTTTCTTGTTAAATAATACATGTTTATTGTTATAAATATAAATATTTTGAAGAGGCATCCCCAATTCCACTACTCAATTTATGACTTTATATAAAAGTAAACCAGGTCAAACCTGTGAATCCAAGGTTGATTGATTATCATCCTGCAATTTGAATCGTTAATAATTTTAAAATATTATAGATCTATAAACCCTAATTGATCTATAAAGATTAGTTGTATTTTACCTCATGTGATGGTTCAGTTTAGCTAAACAAAAGGTTGAGTGGCTCCCCTTTCTTGTTGTCTGTTTTTGTTGATGGCACAATAGACACACACATACGTACACATCATGTTTCCTTTATCTTTGTTTTGGACTTTTGCTTTCTCAGATCATAGCCAAGAAAAAGAAGATATTTGTTACACTAAATGTATGAACAAGAATATATGATAACTAAGACTTAGTGAATGGTTATGGGGTATTGAATAGTCTAATACATGATATTATATATGCTTAAATAAAACTGTCTTCTAATATACCAAACAGATTGTTACTACTAAAGCTCTAGCTGCTACAAATATATTTCATTATTATCATAACTAATTACTAACATAAGATTTATAGTACAAGGAAAGCTCCACCACAGAGAAAGATTGCCAAACATATTGAACTGATCGATGTCTTGATAGGAATCCTTCCTTTATCACTCCTTAGTATCATGGCTTCATATATTGGCCAACTATTCAATACTCCAAAACCAGCTATAAACAATTGCCCAAACAACTTCTCCACTTCCCAAATGCTCACCATTTGCATTATTCCAACTACCAACGAGAATAAACTAACAATTGATGCTGTTGTGAGGGGTAAAAACATTACGGAATGGACCCCAAACTCCATAAGACCCTGATCATATCTCTTGCTTTGTTCATCATCTTGCACTTTGCTTGTCACATTGAACCCTTGTGAAGCTATACCTAAATATTTAGCAATGTGCTCAACAAGTCCAAACAAGTAAGGCGATAATCCCTTAATTAGCCATATCCGTTGATCATTCCACCATCTCTTAAACGTGCTTCCAAATAAAATGAAGTCATAACAATCTTGTGCATATGCTCCAAGAAATACAAAAACGTACAACAAGAACCATGGATTTGTCACCTACATTTAAAAAGAACATGTTCAAAGGTAATTAAATGGACTCAACATATGTTTACAAATACCAAAAATTGAAAAACGTACCTCTGGGAATATATATAATCCATTTAAAAGAGCGATTTGAGGGATAAATGAGTATATAACAATGGGAATTGACCAAATGGGCCAAAAGGCATAGTGTGCGTAACATAAACCCATGACATGACCCATGTATCGTGACCCGAAAATCATTGGTGTATACTTGGAGAAGCCAACCTCAAGAAGTCCGATAGCCCATCTTTTGGTTTGACTAACTGCATCGATGAGTGAGATTGGAACATCACCCAAAAAGGCCGACCTACTTGAGTGGCAAAATATAGACTCCCATCCTTCACATTGCAATCGATATCCTGTGAAATAGTCCTCCACAAGTGACCCATAACGAAAGCCTAACTACACGTAAAAAAGAAGTCAAATATTTTCATATTATGTTATTAGTTATTACAAATAACAAGTTTCGAGTTTACATGACTTACTTCGAATCCCCATTTGGTGTTGTTTTCGTAGTTGCATTCAGCAACATGGTGGGCCAATTCAATAATGGCTTCCGACGTAATGGGTTTCTCCACCACACAGTCTGGTCGGAGGTCTGGTATTTCTGGTAGCACCATTGACGTGGGGCCACCAAAGAAAACTCGACGACGGAAAAAGCATCCACTTCCGACATAAGAAGGACCTTGTAAACCATCCATTCCAACAGGGTTTGCTACAAATAAACGCAAGAACTCGCCACCATAGATGTCATCTTTGTTGAGCCCATGGTAACGTTGAGGAAACTGGATGTATCCTAATTGGGGTCGAACCGATGGATTGGAAATATAACACAATGCTCTTTTAGGCGTATGTGGATCATTAGAGTACATGTCACAATCTTGAGTAAGAACTATAGGTGCATTGGTCAGTACAGCCGATACTCGAAGCTTCAAAAACACATAATAATTAAGATCAGCTTAGAAAACTAAACTCAATTAGTATGTAAAAAAAAGTTTTAATGTAAGATTACTACATTACCATTTACAACAATTAAGCCTTGATTATGTAAAAATAGACAAAACATAATATATATATA